CACAGCAGGAACAATTCCCTCTAAATTCCCTCCTCACTTGAGGACTTGAGGTGTCCTTATACTTGAAGGTTCCCTTGTGGAATTATTTTATTTAACCCCGGTTCGCCCCGATTATGTTTCTAGGTTTGTCAGCACCATACCCGTGCTCGTGGGTTTCACCGAAGTGGTAAAAGACTAAGACCTGCATCACTTCGGGCTTTCCTCCCACATTAAGCTGACACGCCGTGATATAACTGGAATACTGTTAAAAGCGGCGTTAAACCGAGCTCACTCACTCACTATTTTATTTTACCTTATAGGTAACTTTAATTAAAGGACTGTATCTCAGTCCACTCCACTGTGTACTCTGCAAAAATATCGCTTCTCGACCAGGTTTTTATGCTGGGACTTCCAGGAATGGTGAAAAAACGTTAGATAATGGTTGAAGACCGAACAAACTCTTGACATTCAAATGTATATGAATACTTTCTTACTCATTCAAAATTTTAAAAGACCATCTTTTACGGCATGCCAATTTGAATAATCAATTTCCAATTTCTATTGATTTTGAATAATTTGTGATAGACTAAACTTGGCTTCACCTGATCATTCTCTGCACTGCCCAAACCAGGAGGTTCTGTTGTCATGGAAACAGTTTATGCTTTCGGTAACATTGCAATCCAGAGTGACATTGTGTCAGTTTTACAACAGCTTCTGTACATGTAGAAAGAGGTTGTTTTGTGGAAATGTAGGGATGGTTTCTATCTACAACGGTGGGAAATTTGGCATTTGAAACATGTAAATCCAAAATAGGATTCCAGTGAAACTATTTCTTGGTAGCAGCTGTGAATATGACTGATCATAAAGATTATCTCCTGACTGTATGTTATTGTGGACTTGATATTCTGGTCCACAGGTTTGATGATGACCTTTGATTAGCTTGGGGTCAGCTCTGTCTACAATAACAGCACAAACCACAGAGCACCTGTTTCGTGGAAGTAACTCTGGGTCATAGTTTCCGTTCGTCTGATGAAGTTTGGTCTGATTCATCAGTAGTTTAGTGTTGCTCTATTTTAATATGACAGTAAATAAATGAGTAGTTTGCCAGACTAAATCATTTATGCATAATCATAACAACATTTTGAACCATCCCACCAATACGATTAGTGAAATATGTCACAGATGTTTTTCCAAAAAGGCTCACCAGTAAATTGGACTAGTTTTTGACTTCTCCATGTTGTCACACTTGTGAGGGTTCACAAAACATGATGAGACTTTTGTGCAATTTCTTCTTTGTGAGGCTTAAAATATATCTGTCCACCCTCATATTACCAATTAATAGTCAGTTTGGTTAATGACATTAAATATAAAAGAATATGTTTACACCAAAACCATACTGTCAGTCTTCCTAGTAATTATGACTACTGGCCACCGGATCCATGAAGTCACCTTATGACTCTCATAATATATGAATCCCCATGGGGCCATATACGTACAAGTCATTGGACACCATGGTTGGGGATTATGCCAATGTAATGAGCAGATCCTGATAGCATCCATGACAAAACAACAGTCTCGACCTTCGCTAAGCCAATAACTCAATGGTATAATTCAGACTGTCTGGACCGGTAGGGGGGGGGAGTCACGGATGGCCCAGTTGTCTAAGGCGCCGCGATTCGCTGTGTTGCGTCTCTTGAGCATGCCAGAAACCTATGATTGTGGGTTCGAATTCCGGTACGTCCAGATTATGTTTTAAGGTTTGTCAGCACCATACCTGTGCTCGTGGGTTTCACCGAAGTGGTAAACATCTGAGACCTGCATCACTTCGGGCTTTCCTCCCTAATCAAGCTGACACGTAGGAATATAACTGGAATACTGTTAAAAGCGACATGAAACCCAACTCACTCACTCACTGGACTGGTAGGTCATGGTGTGCTGTGCTGATTCCATGAAGAAGGCTCTGGCAGGTGTATCAGGAAGTCTTACTGAAGTAGATTCATGTAGTTTCCACTGCCTCCTTTGTCTTCTTTGGCATGCTGAGACATTTTCCTCATAGCCAGGATCGAGATCCAAGTGATTGTAATGATTAGCAATATAGCTGTTCTCTGATTTCAGAGGTGAGGTCATTCTATCCCAAGACTGTTACACCATATGGACATTGCCAATATAGTAGTTCTCACATTGAAGACATACACTGTCCCACGACTGTGCTACCATACAGACATTGCCAATATAGTTGTTCTCACGTTTCCTGAAGACTTACACTGTCCCCAACTGTGCCACCATACAGACATGTCCAATATAGTTGTTCTCACATTGAAGACATACACTGTCCCAAGACTGTGCCACCATACAGACATTGCCAATATCGTTGTTCTCACATTGAAGACATACACTGTCCCACGACTGTGCCACCATACAGACATGTCCAATATCGTTGTTCTCACGTTTCCTGAAGACATACACTGTCCCACGACTGTGCCACCATACAGACATTGCCAATATAATTGTTCTCATGTTTCCTGAAGACATACACTATCCCACGACTGTGCCACCATACAGACATTGCCAATATAGTTGTTCTCACATTGAATGAATACATCCACGACTGTGCCACCATATAAACATTGCCAATATAGTTGTTCTCACATTTCCTGAAGACATACACTGTCCCACGACTGTGCCACCATACAGACATTGCCAATATAGTTGTTCTCACATTTCCTGAAGACATACACTGTCCCACGACTGTGCCACCATACAGACATTGCCAATATAGTTGTTCTCAAATTTCCTGAAGACATACACTGTCTCATGACTGTGCCACCATACAGACATTGCCAATATAGTTGTTCTCACATTGAAGACATACACTGTCCCACAACTGTGCCACCATACAGACATTGCCCTTATAGTTATTCTCATGTTTCCTGAAGACATACACTGTCCCACTGCTTTACTGGCACCTTGAATATTGTAACAATGTTGATCAAACAGCTTCTGAGCCAGAGTTGTATGGCATCTTTTTAAATCTTGGTAGAAAGAGCATGCACGATTTTACCTCGGATGATTTGAAATGTAGCTACCAAAGGCTGGAGCTGCAGGAATATTGCTCGACATGAAATGAAAGTTGGTGGGGATCGTTGCTGACATATAAACAATCATTGGATTGTCTGGTCCCCATCCACCTAGACTGGTGGTTTGAGGTGGATTGGGTCGTCAGACTCGGTACTTGCTAGATAGAATGTTACCACGTCCAAGTGGTGGGGATCGTTGCTAACATATTATTAATCACTGGATTGTCTGGTCTCCATCAACCTAGACTAGTGGTTTCAGGGGGATTGGGTCGTCAGACTCGGTACTTGCTAGATAGTACCGCCGTCCCAGTGGCGGGGATCGTTGCTGACATCTTATCAATCACTGGATTGTTCAGGCCCCATCAACCTAGACTGGTGGTTTCAGGGGGATCACTGGATTGTATGGCCCAAACTTGATCATTTAGACCTTCTGTGAGTGCCAAGAGGTTATAAACTGACTCGACTCATAGTTCAGGGCAACCTAAGTCTGTTTCGACCTCTTTGCTTCTTATCAACATAAGACAGGTACTAGACATATTTTCGGGGCGTAACTGTAAACAGAAGTAGTTGTGATCCAGCACTACTATGACATTTCCGCATGTGTGGAGTTGATTGGTTTTCTAATTAACCAATTAGACAAACAGATAACTGTTGCACTGAAATTGAAGTAACAGGAAAAGATATCAAGGAAATGTTTGCTTCAGTCTGGTAATAGCGCTGACAGATATGGGTTAATTTAGTGGTGAAATTCAACACTCCTTTTCGACAATTTGCTAACACGTGCTGCGTGCAGTTCACCCCAGCTGGGAAACCTTCATAATGTGACCTGCCTTTGATTGCTACAGAGATCTGGAATGTATAGACTAGTGGCTTCAGTATACCAGGAGTTTATTTAATAGTTTCAAGACTCTAAAATGTTTATCAAGGAGAATAACCCCACTGTATTCCCAATGTACAATGTTACCTGTAGATATGATAATTTGAGTTGAATAGGAAACCAAATGTGTCATTGTGAGGTTGTTATTATCACAATGTGAAGTAGCCCATTGGTTAGTGTGTTCGCAGAGTAAACTGGTTTGATTCTCACACAGCATTGTTAGGGGTGGGACTAGTCTAAATTTACTACCGGGGTACCCAACCCCCTATTACCCGACCCTTCCTGGGTACCCACTGAAGGTCTCAAGAGATAGGTACAAAATGTCCAATTGGGAGTTCTTTTACCATAGCCCTGGCAAAACGTATTTAGATACATGTATTAAACAATCTCGTCTTGCATACACTGAATTTTACTTAAGTTATATCTTTATTAAAAAATATGAATAGTCAGAAGGAATGGGTGCATAGTCAGAAAGAAATGCGAACATAAGTGACTTGTAGTGTAACCATAGAGTTCTAGATAATTTTTGTCATTATATCACGTGACTAACCATGGGTCCGGGTAGTCCAGTGGGGACCCGGGTCCTACTCAGTATCCACCCGACCCGGGTACCTGATTTACACGTCCCAGCCCTAAACTCTGTTGACCGTACGTACATCACATGGCCCACCCATCCATGATCACTTCCCACTGAGGGAAAACACATTAGAATGGCTTACTTGCAACAGTCTCATCTATTAGCAATCAGGGAAGAAAACTGTGCATGAGCCTTGTCACAATGCTGTTTCGGTTATTGTGAAAAAGTGTTGTAGCAATCTTTTCTCTCTGATGACAGATTAATAGACTGACATTTGGTCAATGAAAACATGTCTTGAAATAATTTTCTTTTCTTCAAAAGAACATTTCCTTTTCTGCTCTTCACAAGCAAACCAAACTTGGTTAGTTTGATCTAGACTTGCCTAGGCTTTTAGTGTGAAGAAAATACGTAAAAAATATATATATTCTACAGTCATTATGCAGGACTAACAGACTTACTGCTCCTGACTTTGCCGTTCTGTTTGTTTCAGACAAGTTATTGAGGGGGATGAACACCGGGACAAGAGGATGCACTGCACGTTCAACATTCTTGTGAGTGGATGCTTTAATCATTAACTAACATAAGCCACTGTTGGTCAAGGTGTGCTGAATAAGTCCTATGCGACCCATGCTTGTGATTTGAAGGCAGATTTGCACCTCTGTGTTCCATGCCTTTTCCCTTTGGGGATTTCAAGCCAGGTAGGTCCCTTGATCCCAAGGCAGGATATAGGTCCATGATAACTCATGTATGCTCCCTGTTGAGATTCCAAGATAAAATAGTAATAATAATAATATGCTTAAAATGGGTTACAGTTATGGCTGTTTTTCAGAATTTCTACAAGGACAACATCAACCGTGAGGAGATGTACATCCGCTACATCAACAAGTTGTTCATCCTCCATCACGATGCCAACAACTTCGTGGAGGCCGGACTGACGCTGCAGTTGTATGCGCAGCTGTTGCGGTGGACCCCGGACCAACTTTCGGCCAACCTTGGGTACCCCTCACAGAAGGAATTGGAGAGGAAGGAGGAACTCACGCTCAAGGTCATCGAGTGCTTCGACAAGGGCAAGGTCAGTAATATCTTTTGATGGCAGGTTTTAGTCAAGAATCGTCTTTATTTGTGGTACTTTTGATGGCAGGTTTTAGTCAAGAATCCTCTTGATTTGTGGTACTGTTGATGGCAGCTTTTTAGTCAAGAATCTTCTTTATTTGTGGAACTGTTGATGGCAGCTTTTTAGTCAAGAATCTTCTTGATTTGTGGTACTTTTGATGGAGGGTCTTAGTCAAGAATCTTCTTGATTTGTGGTACTTTTGATGGCAGCTTTTTAGTCAAGAATCTTGATTTGTGTTACTTTTGATGGCAGCTTTTGGTCAAGAATCTTCTTGATTTGTGGTTCTTTTGATGGCAACTTTTTAGTCAAGAATCTTCTTGATTTGTGGTACTTTTGATGGAGGGTTTTAGTCAAGAATCTTTTTGATTTGTGATACTTTTGATAATTTGAAAGAATTTACTGCTCATTTCTTGTTAAGAATTTTGCTGAATGGTAAATGATAACAAAACTGGAAACGGGTTTGCCACAATGGCTGCTGAAAGAGAATATGACCTTCAGCTGTTACAAGGGAAGTTCATTTTGTAAAAGTCCTCTCTGATGTGGCCTTCAACTTACATTGTGGATCTGCTTGCACTGAGGACACTGCTGTATACGACCCTGTCACCTGATCTGGCTCTTGTGTTCCAGGCCTGGGAGTATGGGATTCCACTCTGCAAGGAGCTGGCGGAGGTGTATGAGAAGAAGCTCTTCAACTACAAGAAGCTCAGTCAAATATTGGTAGGCTGTTTTCAAATTTGGCAGTCATTGACGACCATTGGTATGGGCTTTTCAATTGGAAAAATATCCAATCAATAACTTAATGAAATATCAGCCCTTTTGTCTTTCTTCTGATTGTATGGTTAATTGCAAATTGTTAGATGCGTTGTAAATATACACATAAAAATATATGTCTTGTGTGCCGTTGTCAAATAAGACATTTATGTTTCACATCTTTGATAGTTACATGGCCAAGACTGATTTCTGTCAAACCCACGCAGTTAAAAAAGAAATACTCCGTGTATGGTAGTTTTAAGAGTTCTTCCCCAAACAAACATTATCTGTAGCAGCTAATGTAATACCTCCTCTTCCCATCCCAACCTTACTTAAACCTGTGTCAAGGGAGAAAATAAAGACTGTTACATGCAGACTGTGCAAAAAAACGTTTGAGTTTGCGAGCCCGAACTTGGGTCTTGACATCATTTTCAGCAGATTTTAGTGTGATTGTATGGATTGTGAGCTGAACTTATTGGAATTTTAGTAGACTTGGGCTTCAGGCTAGTGGCTTAAGTTGCAGACTGGTGCGTGTAAGTGTTTTACATTAGGTCACATAAGTTTCAGTTGGTAGACATGGAGATAATCCAACTCCAGCTGTCACTGATGCTTCACAGACCAGAAGTGGTTAAATCCAGACAAATAAAGAATAATTGTTGACCTGTAATTGGGAGAGCAACTTTACTATTATCTCTTCAAGCCCCGCACACTGGTCGCGGACCGTGCCTGATACTACGCAGGCTGCTTTGTCCTGGGTCGCTGGCTCTAAATCTGTCTGCGGAAGTCTGGGAGGGAGCCTTTATTAAAAGGTCATAGGACTCTATGGGCTGGGGATACATGGGACACAGCCACTCACATACACTCAACTTCACTAGTGTTTTTGTATTGACAATGATTATATTATTCATAAGCAAATTTATTTGAAACTTAATTTAACTTCATTTTAAATTAAGTTTTTTGAATCAAACTTTGAGTGTAAAAAATATTACCTTTGAGTTTTATGATTGGGAAATTGTGATCAGATTGTTTCTTGTGGCTGGCAGAGTAGTCTCCCTTGAATATTTGATCAACTGCACATGAAAGTAGTGAGTGAGTGAGTATGGTTTTACGCCGCTTTTAGCAATATTCCAACAATATCACGGCGGGGGACACTGGAAATGGGCTTCACACATTGTACCCACGTCGAGAATCGAACCCGGGTCTTTGGCGTGACGAGCGAACGCTTTAACCACTAGGCTACCCGACCGCCCCATGTAAGTAGAGATGTTTTATTCTGTGGTATATATATGGACTTGAAGCCATATTAAACTTATTTACAGGTTAATGCAATGTTATATATGTTATATAAAGAGTCACTGTTTTCTTGTGTTACTATAGCAACGAGAGGCAGCATTCTTCAACAATATCCTGGAGGGTCCCTCCTTGAGGCAGAACCCTTCCTACTACAGAGTGGCCTACTACGGCATGAGCTTCCCGCCATTTGTCAGAGTATGTACTTGTTGAGCAGAGCGTCATCTTGTATATATACGCTTCAGGATGTCAAAATGCCAGAGGATAACTTGGTATTTTTTGACAGAATTGAAAGGTTTAGTCAACTACAAAAAGATGGTGCTCCATTTGGGTTAAAATGTTTTGCCTCAATAAGTATCCAGCCCTCTCATCATGGAACTCCAGGTGTTATCCTTCAGGTGATGTAAATAAGCATCCAGCCCTCTCTTCAAACCCCTCTCTTCTGCCCTTATTCACCTAATGAAGAGGTTTAGATTCAGTTTAGGAATTAAACTCTACATCCCTTACACAAGGGGTTACATTCGGGTGATGTAAATAAGCATCCAGCCCTCTCTTCAAACCCCTCTCTTCTGCATTTATTCACCTAATGAAGAGGTTTAGATTCAGTTTAGGAATTAAACTCTACATCCTAGAACACCAGGTGTTACCGTCAGGTGATGTAAATAAGCATCCAGCCCTCTCTTCAAACCCCTCTCTTCTGCCCTTATTCACCTAATGAAGAGGTTTAGATTCAGTTTAGGAATTAAACTCTACATCCTAGAACACCAGGTGTTACCGTCAGGTGATGTAAATAAGCATCCAGCCCTCTCTTCAAACCCCTCTCTTCTGCATTTATTCACCTAATGAAGAGGTTTAGATTCAGTTTAGGAATTAAACTCTACATCCTAGAACACCAGGTGTTACATTCAGGTGATGTAAATAAGCATCTAGCCCTCTAATGAAGAGGTTTAGATTCAGTTTAGGAATTAAACTCTACATCCTAGAACACCAGGTGTTACCGTCAGGTGATGTAAATAAGCATCCAGCCCTCTCTTCAAACCCCTCTCTTCTGCCCTTATTCACCCAATGAAGAGGTTTAGATTCAGTTTAGGAGTTAAACTCTGCATCATTGAGCACCAGGTGATACATTCAGGTGATGTAAGCATGCACATAGCACAGGTTCAGGCCCATCCGCTTCATCCAGAAACATTGGTGCTCCATGGTTTGTTGTAAAACTACAATGTATTGCCTGCCTCCAAGTTGGATTTCATTATTTTTTGTTAACTTACCACCACTGAATGTTCCAGAACAAGGAGTTTGTCTACCGCGGAGACGAGTGTCTAAAGTTGGCCACCATCATGAGTCATCTGACCACGGAGTTCCCGTCAGCCTCCATTCTCACCAGCAACACCCCTCCGGACGACAAGGTTCGAGAGGGGGACCAACAATGTATCCTTTCCTGATTGCATAATGTTGAAACATACCACCAGTCAACACATCCAGTTCTATACACTCATTGGGGGATTCTAGCTAGAAAAGGACCCAAGCAAACATGCTGTTCGTAAGAGGCGACTAGATGTAGCACATGGTATTTAAGGCTCGTGTCTTGATTCATTACATTCCCCAGTGGGATTTTGGGGTATCATTATATCAACCACTGGTTTGTCTGGTCCAGACTTGATTAATACAGGTCGCTGGTTGTTTTTCTTGAATATTGCTGAGTGTGCATATAGCAACAAACAATCTATGCACTCATGGTAAGAGGACTGTGCTAGTGTAAGGCACCACACCTGAAAGTTGTGGCCTGTTCTAGTTCTGCATGTGTCTGTTGATTGCAGGACTCTTTCCAATAATAATCCTTGGTTTGTCAACACGCAGATTTCACCAAAGTGGTAAACATCTACAACCTGTGTTGGGATTTTCCTTTCATATTAACCCGACATGTTGCGGTACGAGTGTGTTTCATTCTCACTCACGGGTGACCCGGTCGTCTAAGGCGCCGGAATTCGCTGTGCAGAGTTGCGTCCCTTGGGCAGACCAGAAACCTATGATTGAAGGTTCGAATCCCGGTTCGCCCAAATTATGTTTCTAGGTTTGTCAGCACCATACCTGTGCTCGTGGGTTTCACCGAAGTGGTAAACGTCTAAGACATGCATCACTTCGGGCTTTCCTCCCACATTAAGCTGACACGCCGCGATATAACTGGAATACTGTTAAAAGCGGCGTTAAACCCAACTCCCTCACTCACTCACTGGACATTCCAAGGTTCTATGCATGGGGCCAATTCAGATTACCATTGATTTTAGTTTTGATATTGAACTGTGATACCAAATCTTTGACCTTGACCTTGTGAAGGCATCCAGATCAGCAGTGTGAAACCTGTGGCTTCTGAGAGGTCAGAGTTTCAAGGTCACACGGTTCCAATGGAGATCAGCAACTTCTACAGCGTCAATGAGGTGGATGTGTTTCAATTTGACCGACCCTACCACCGAGGGGAAAGGAATAAGGACAATGAATTTAAGGTGCGTTTTAAAAGCAAAAGGACAAGCTTACAGAGGACTTTGTTCCATGGTCTGGTGCCCTGCCTTGGTCTAGATGGGTCTGATGGCCTGCCTTGGTCTAGATGGGTCTGATGGCCTGCCTTGGTCTAGATGGGTCTGATGGCCTGCCTTGGTCTAGATGGGTTTGATGGCCTGCCTCAGTCAAGTGACTTGTCTGTGTAGTTTCGGTTATTATTTACTGCTCAGTTGGTAGATATCAGAAAATTGAAATTAGCAGACCAAGAATTATTCATCCAATTGTTCATGCAATTTTCAAATATCAGTCACGTTGAGATTTGTTGTGAAAAATAATCACACATGCAGTAAACTAATTTCATCCTTATCATGTAGAAGTTCATACTGTTAAACTCTCGCCCTAACTTACTAACCATTTGCAAACAGTAATGGTAACACCAGAAGTTGTGTATGGACCAGATTAGAATTGGTCCCCATTAAGCTCTGATGTCGTAAGAGGCACGTAAGTAAAATTGATTCAGTTGTAAGGTCCTTTGTCTTAGTTGATTGCATGTCATTGATGATGCTCATGATATCAACCACTGGTTTGTCTGACCAAGACTAAATGAGTTACAGGCTGTCATGGTATGGCTGGACTATTGCAGACTGGGCCATAAACATAAAACAAAATATCAAATCCGAAATTGTTGCAGTGATGTAGTTGCCAGTACTTTCACTGTTTTAGACACTGTGCCTTGAGAGGAAGGTGTTGAAGACAAGCTACAAATTGCCAGGGATACTGCGATGGTACGAGGTGGTCCAGACAGAGGTGCTACACCTGCCCCCCATATTGGTGGCCGTGGAGAACATGAGGACGGTCAACACGGAGCTGGACTACCTGACCGGCCGGTGCAAGTCCAACACAGACATGTTCTTCCAGCAGCTGATGATGAGGCTGCAGGGCGTCATCAACAGCGTGGTCAATGGTGGGCTGCCCAAGTACCAGGAGGTAAGGGGAGACAACTGGGGTGTCTGTAGGTATCCCATAATGATGAGTGAGTGAGTGATAGGGTTTTACAACGCTTTTAACAATATTCCAGCAATATCACGGCGGGGGACACCAGAAATGGGCTTCACACATTGTACCCATGTCGGGAATCGAACCCGGGCCTTAGGCGTGACGAGCGAACGCTTTAACCACTGGGCTACCAGACTGCCCCCCCATTATGATGACTACTGCTGGACAAACTTAAGAATAATCAGTGTCAACACCAAATTTGGGGTTGGCATCTGTCCCTGCAATGAAAGACTCCATTGAACAGGGGACTGGTTGAAGGGGATTAAGGGCAAGTCAACAACAAGCAAACACACATCACACTGGCTGCTGGCAAACCTTCCACCCCTGATTACAATGTGTGAAACCCATTCTTGCTGTGGCCTATATCATTTAGCTGAAATACTGCTCAGTGCATCCTAAAGCATGACCCATGACACTCTGTACAGATGATGTGTGAAGGAGTAGATATTTTATGAGTGCTTCATTGACTATTGCAGCATCAGTGATGTTGTTGTGAGTCTTTGTAATGGAAGAGTCCCATCCACTTGAATGATCCTGAACACTGCTGTGATGTGGGAGACATGGGACCGATATCTTTCACTATCTCAGTCTGTATTGGACACTGTCTTTACAACCACTGACCATAATTCTACCATCAGCCATAGTAATAAATTGTATGGTGTATGATTGCAGGCATTTTTCTGTGATGAGTTTGCATCGAAGCATCCCGACGAAGTGTGCCACCTGATAGAGCTGAAGACACTGTTGGTGGAGCAGGTGAGGGAGTTGTTAGTCTCGCTGGATCAGGTTGGGGAACTGGTGGATAGTGAATGCAATCGTTACCCTATTAGGGATATATATATATTGAAGGTTTTCTTAATGATCAATAATCAGAAAACTTCTTTGAATGGCATTTAGAAGTTGGAATGGTAACTAAGACAAAATTCTTATGGATGAGCAACTGATGATCATTTGCTTGATAACGGTGTTAGAATCTACACCGAAACGTCGCCCAATTGTAATAAAGAAGTTGCTCATCCATAAGAATTTTGTCTTAGTAATCAGAAAACTGTTGGTCACAGACTCTGATGATAGAAAACAAAAATTAATAACTGAGAAACTGTACGGATACATTGTCCAGTTGAAAGGCTTGTACCACCCATATGGACAAGTATGTGATTACATTACCACAGTCCAGTTTCATCTTCCTTTTCCAGGTCGACCTGATGGAGCAAGGGCTGCGAAAGACTGAGTCCATGTGCACTGAAGAAATGAAGCCTTTGCAGAAGAATCTGGTTGAGATGTTCAGCAAACTCAAGCAGGATATCACCGATTCTGTAAGTCCCTCCTCCCTACTGTAAGACATCAATGACCAAGACAGGTGTAGGACACTAGTGACACTTTAATATGTCTGACTCAACATGTGCTTGAGTACAAGGGAGATAACTCCAGGTGTTTTTTTTATTCCAATGAACTTGACATGCACAACATGGAACCTAGTTAAGTCAACCTGCATAGGCATTCTATGACACCTACCTCCACCCCACCTTACTTCACACCCCAAACCTATAGCCTTCTCATGATATCATGAAACCCCAGAGATACCACCAAATCCCTCCCTGATCAACTATAGCCTTGTAATGATACCACAGGGTATGCAAGTCCCCACCCACCCACCCCCACCTCCACCTACCAAACCCCACCCTCATGGTCTATATCCTTGCAATGATCGCAGTCTGTAATCCACCAACTACCCACCCCCACCCTTCAATAACTATCCTTTTTGTGCTGTAGTTGTTATTCATGCTTTAGACCCGAATCATTTCTGTGATTCCAGGGTTCTCCGAGGGCTGGAAGGTTACGAGGTGGGTCTCTGGGGGCAGTGATACGCCCTGGCACCCCGGGGAGCGGATCCCTCAACTCCAGTAGCAGGTAGGTCTTTGTTGTTCATTTCCCCATGGGTGAATTGTCAGCCACGTCAACGGAATATTGCTGGAATATTGCTGACAGCACCATAAAGCCATACTCACTCTCCCGCACACTCTCTGTTTCAGCAACAGGTCTTCCATCACATCGGCGGAGGCCATGTCCCAGGACGGGGACAACATCTACATGGATCCGCCTGAGGTGAGTTTGCCACCAGGTGGCCTACAATCATGCAGTGGAATCATTGGGACTATGTAGGATAGTTTACAATGAAGCGTTAGGGAAGAAAAACAAAACAGGCATCTGAAACATTGGTTTGATAATACACTTATTTCAAAAATGTATCAATGATAATAACGATAATAATATTGAGACACTTATGAAGCAATTTCCACAGGGTGGCAGACTCAAAGTGCAGCATGTGGACTATTACTTATACCTGCTCAAATTGTATTCTCAGCTCCCTGGGGGGTATACAACCCAGAAGTGTGCATTCCAGAAGTATAAAAGCAAATGCTTGTCATGCTATGCATCAGTGACTGGTTGAGTTTTCAAGGCTCAGCCACGTTAACTATCAGTTGGTAGTACATGTTTATATATTGGAGTTACACTGTAAATTATTAGGGTAGTAATGTGACATTTGTGAAAAGTGAAGTGTTATATTGTGCACCTCCCATATTTTAATCAAGGTCGATCCAATGATGTTTGTAAGTATACTCCATTACTGGTGCAGGGTATCTGTCATTATTGTATACTACATACAGGTTCAGGAACTAAGTATCTGGCTAACTCAATGTATCCTACAGTTCTGGCTAACTTAATGTATCCTTCAGTTTTGGACGACTTAATATATCCTACATTTCTAGCTAACTTAATATATCCTACAGTTATGGATAACCTAATGTATCCTACATTTCTAGCTAACTTAATATATCCTACATTTCTAGCTAACTTAATATATCCTACAGTTATGGATAACCTAATGTATCCTACAGTTCTGGCTAACTTAATGTATCCTACAGTTCTGGCTAACTTAATGTATCCTACATTTCTAGCTAACTTAATATATCCTACAGTTCTGGCTAACTTAATATATCCTACAGTTATGGATAACCTAATGTAACCTACAGTTCTGGCTAACTTAATGTATCCTACAGTTTTTGCTAACTTAATGTATCCTACAGTTCTGGCTAACTTAAAGTATCCTACAGTTCTGGCTAACTTAATATATCCTACATTTCTAGCTAACTTAATATATCCTACATTTCTAGCTAACTTAATGTATCCTACAGTTCTGGCTAACTTAATGTATCCTACATTTCTAGCTAACTTAATATATCCTACATTTCTAGCTAACTTAATATATCCTACAGTTATGGATAACCTAATGTATCCTACAGTTCTGGCTAACTTAATGTATCCTACAGTTCTGGCTAACTTAATGTATCCTACAGTTCTGGCTAACTTAATGGATACTACAGTTCTGGCTAACTTAATGGATACTACAGTTCTGGCTAACTTAATATATCCTACAGTTCTGGCTAACTTAATGTATCCTACAGTTCTGGCTAACTTAATGTATCCTACAGTTCTGGCTAACTTAATGTATCCTACAGTTCTGGCTAACTTAATGGATACTACAGTTCTGGCTAACTTAATGGATACTACAGTTCTGGCTAACTTAATGTATCTTATTTAGTGTTGGTATATGCTACAGTTCTGGCTAACTTAATGTTTCCTACAGTTCTGGCTAACTTAATGTATCCTACAGTTCTGGCTAACTTAATGGATACTACAGTTCTGGCTAACTTAATGGATACTACAGTTCTGGCTAACTTAATGTATCCTACAGTTCTGGCTAACTTAATGTATCCTGCAGTTCTGGCTAACTTAATGTATCCTACAGTTCTGGCTAACTTAATATATCCTACAGTTCTGGCTAACTTAATGTATCCTACAGTTCTGGCTAACTTAATGTATCCTACATTTCTGGCTAACTTAATGTATCCTACAGTTCTGGCTAACTTAATGGATACTACAGTTCTGGCTAACTTAATGGATACTACAGTTCTGGCTAACTTAATGTATCTTATTTAGTGTTGGTATATGCTACAGTTATGGCTAACTTAATGTATCCTACAGTTCTGGCTAACTTAAAGTATCCTACAGTTCTGGCTAACTTAATGTATCCTACAGTTCTGGCTAACTTAATGGATACTACAGTTCTGGCTAACTTAATGGATACTACAGTTATGGCTAACTGAATGTATCCTACAGTTCTGGCTAACTTAATGTATCCTACAGTTCTGGCTAACTTAATATATCCTACAGTTCTGGCTAACTTAAAGTATCCTACAGTTCTGGCTAACTTAATGTATCCTACAGTTCTGGCTAACTTAATGGATACTACAGTTCTGGCTAACTTAATGGATACTACAGTTCTGGCTAACTTAATGTATCCTACAGTTCTGGCTAACTTAATGGATACTACAGTTCTGGCTAACTTAATGGATACTACAGTTCTGGCTAACTTAATGTATCCTACAGTTCTGGCTAACTTAATGGATACTACAGTTCTGGCTAACTTAATGTATCCTACAGTTCTGGCTAACTTAATGGATCCTACAGTTCTGGCTAACTTAAAGTATCCTACAGTTCTGGCTAACTTAATGTATCCTACAGTTCTGGCTAACTTAATGGATACTACAGTTCTGGCTAACTTAATGGATACTACAGTTCTGGCTAACTTAATGTATCCTACAGTTCTGGCTAACTTAATGTATCTTATTTAGTGTTGGTATATGCTACAGTTCTGGCTAACTTAATGTATCCTACAGTTCTGGCTAACTTAATGTATCCTACAGTTCTGGCTAACTTAATGTTTCCTACAGTTCTGGCTAACTTAATGTTTCCTACAGTTCTGGCTAACTTAATGTATCCTACAGTTCTGGCTAACTTAATATATCCTACAGTTCTGGCTAACTTAAAGTATCCTACAGTTCTGGCTAACTTAATGTATCCTACAGTTCTGGCTAACTTAATGGATACTACAGTTCTGGCTAACTTAATGGATACTACAGTTCTGGCTAACTTAATGTATCCTACAGTTCTGGCTAACTTAATGGATACTACAGTTCTGGCTAACTTAATGGATACTACAGTTCTGGCTAACTTAATGGATACTACAGTTATGGCTAACTTAATGTATCCTACAGTTCTGGCTAACTTAATGGATACTACAGTTCTGGCTAACTTAATGGATACTACAGTTCTGGCTAACTTAATGTATCCTACAGTTCTGGCTAACTTAATGGATACTACAGTTCTGGCTAACTTAATGTATCCTACAGTTCTGGCTAACTTAATGGATACTACAGTTCTGGCTAACTTAATGTATCCTACAGTTCTGGCTAACTTAATGGATACTACAGTTCTGGCTAACTTAATGTATCCTACAGTTCTGGCTAACTTAATGTATCTTATTTAGTGTTGGTATATGCTACAGTTCTGGCTAACTTAATGTATCCTACAGTTCTGGCTAACTTAATGTATCCTACAGTTCTGGCTAACTTAGTGTATCCTACAGTTCTGGCTAACTTAATGTTTCCTACAGTTCTGGCTAACTTAATGTATCCTACAGTTCTGGCTATTTTAATGTACCTTACTTAGTGTTGGTATATGCTACAGTACTGGGCTCTGTGACTTATAGTATCGTACAGTTGGGTAGCCTAGTGGTGAAGGTGTTTGTCCAGGTTTGATCCCTACCTGGGTACAGAGTTTGAAGTCCTTTTCTAGTGTCCCCCGCCATGATATAGCTGGAATATTGATAAAAGCGGCATAAAACCACACTCACTCACTAAAGCTGCAATTGTATAGTGACAAAATGAAACACAAAATGTAAGTCCATTGGCTCCCATCTCTTCACACTGAAGTTCTTACAAACTCTATGCACAGTTACCTTTATATCCCGAAATGATCTTGTCCATAAACCACAAGAAGCTCTACAGATGCAATTGTATAGTGACAAAACGAAACACAAAATGTAAGTCCATTGGCTCCCATCTCTTCACACTGAAGTTCTGACAAACTCTTCATGGCCATATGCACAGTTACCTTTATATCCCAAGATAATCTTGTCCATATACCACACAAGAAGCTCTACTGATGCATGTGTTTAGCAGTAAGGTTAATATTACTGAAGTATCACAATGCCAGTTTGCACTGCATCAGGCCATATATACTGCTCAAAAGAAGTTAAAGAAAACCTGACAGATTAACTATAGTCATATGAAAGAATCAGGATTCTTTAACTTCTTTTGAGTAGTATATATTCATTGTGCTGACTGCCTGTGTGAGTGAGTGAGTGAGTGAGTTAGTTTAACGCCGCTTTTTACAGTGTTCCAGTTATATCACGGCGTGTCAGCTTAATGTCGGAGGAACGCCCGAAGTGATGCAGGTCTTAGACATTTTCCACTTCGGTGAAACCCACGAGCAGGGGTATGGTGCTGACAAACCTAGAAACATAATCGGGTTGAACCAGGATTCGAACCCACAATCATAGGTTTCTGGTGTGCCCAAGGGAAGCAACTCTGCACAGCAAATTGTGGCACCTTTGACGACTGGGCCACCCGTGCCCCCTGCCTGTGTGAAATATGCCAATTATAAACAGTAGTGTTCATGCCTTGTATTTTTTTACTCGATAATATTTACTTCCAAACATTATTAACAACGATAATTCTATCACCTTTCTGAACATGTTTTTAGTAAATATTAATCAAAAGCGAGATATTGGTATTATTGGTTGAAGCAAGTAAGTAAATAGATGTTTTGTTGGTGGAGATCGCAGACTGATTGATGGTGCAGAAATATGCACTTTATATGTCTGAGTGTTTTTCATCTACTTTTCTCAATTAAGCTACAGAAGCAACTCATTTTCTATTTTCCTAGTTTTAGCAGGTATGTGTTATTCCTAGATGCTGTGGTAATACTGTTTCCTGTCTTATTTTCTGGATGCCCCTGGTTTTTGATTGTTAGGACTCTGGTATGCCTCCCCCACCCCCTGAAAAACGGAGAATTGGCTCCCGTCTTGCTAACTATGGGGCCCACCTGGGGGGTCAGCAGGCACCCCCCATTCCCTCCCGCCCGGCCTCTGCGCTGGTGTCTGGATCAGCGCTGCAACAGGTTTGTTACTACACATCTGCACAGGGGGCTTACTGGCATTGGTCACCTTCAGGAGTCCGCACAGACATTGACAGTGATACCTCATTGGTCAGGAACACTTCTTCCCGTGTGATAATGTTATTAATGATATATTTAACGTACTTCATTCAGGAAAAGTTATTTGTTAATGTAGACATTTGTAAATGTGGCAGGGTCCCTTAAGGGGAATGGTACTGCAGGTGTTTCTCTGTATCTCATATCATACGACGTTGGCTTGATTTGTGAAGAGTTGTCAGGTTTGTGTTTGTATTCAATATTGACATTGACGTACATGTTCTTGAGTCCCTACATTGACGCAAGATGGTACATGTTCTCGAGTCACTGCATTGACGTAGTAAGCTGGTACATGTTCTTGAGTCCCTACATTGACGCAAGATGGTACATGTTCTCGAGTCCCTACATTGACGTAGTAAGCTGGTACTTGTTCTCGAGTCCATGGATGGACAAAGTCACTACAATCACACACCTACCATACATGTGAAACTATCAGTGAAGACTCATTTCTCCAAAAGTCTCTATTATTATGTAGGCCAGCTATCAAATATGACAAAAAGTCTACTTGCTTGTACAATAGCTGCAACATTGGGCAGAGGCGTTTTGGTGAGGATAATATTCCTGCTTGACCTTTACTTCTGAAAGTAAGGATTAGGTCAAAACAAAATTACAATCAATTTGTCTTGAAGGAAACCTTTACTTGAGTTGTAATAATGCTGGTCTGTGAGGCGTCAGCCTCTTGGCATCCATGACATGACATCTGACTGCTGTAGGACTAAATGCCAGTAAAGCCTGCCTGTCGTGTGTGTTGTGAATGGAGCATGTTGGCTGTTGTACAAAAATCTCTCCTCCTCCATGTTGCCTGTCTGTCTTCATCTCTACAGAGCTGCAGTGTCGGCGAACCTACATCCACTTTCATGGTTGCTGTTGTTGTTTATTTCTTCATATTTCCATTTTTAGTTTCAGTTTTTCACGTTTATGATGAGTTCTGAATGTCTTCCTGTTCTTCTACTATGGCTTCTATGGCTTCTCCATTGCCGTCAGATTAAGATGGGGTCGGTGGTCTCAATGGCGGCTGAGTCGTTATTGTACATGGATGAGTGACCGCCACTAACATGCTCAATCAGGTATTTCATGACTGCTGTGGAGTGCCACCCATCCCAACTGGGGTGGTTCAGTGCTGGCACTGGTACACAGCGATTTGTCTGCGCCAGGGATCATTTCTCCTTTCTGCAATGAGATGTTACTGTTTGTACATGTCTTTGTGAAGCGTAAACCGCTGTCCACAAGCTGTGAGAAATAGACTTGCTTGCTTGGAAATCTTTTTTCTGAAGCTTTACTAACAGCAGTTGTATGGTAATCCCCTACTTTCCTGTAGTTTCCAGCATCTGTTTCTGACGGAATCCACAACCTTCTATTTGTCCTGTTCATATGTTTGTTTCACACCACACTCAGCAATATTGAAGCTATATGATTGCAGCTTGTAAATAATCAAGTCTGGACCAGACAATCCAGTGACTGATATTAAGAACAACGATGCACGCAATCAGGGTGTAACATGCATGGTGTAACAGCCAAGTCACTGAGTCTGAGCATCCCATTAAACATAGGTTGCTGGGAAACTATTCTAACCCTGAATCCCCTCAAGGTAATTACTATGTGAGGTGATTACCGTATTTTCTTGAGTATAGTGCGCACGCAAGTATAATGCGCACCCCCCTCTAGCAGATTCAATATTTTTGAAAAACCAAAAACTTATTGAATATTACATGCAGAAAATGTATAACCACAATGATCCCTGAATATGTACAGTACTGATTGAGACCAGGACCTCGTAGTCACAGCTATGACATAACGGAGTAGGTGTGTTACCTTAACTTGATGGCATAGATCTTTCCCGCTATAACCGATTAAGGTTGTATTTAGTTTGATGACAAAGTTTTGTCTAGCTGTTACCGATTAAGTTTGTATATAGTTTGATGGTATAGATCTGTCTAGGTATTACAGATTAAGTTTGTCTTTAGCTTGATGGCATAGATCTGTCTAGCTATAACAGATTAAGTTTGTATTTAGTTTGATGGCATAGATCTGTCTAGCTATTACAGAGTATGTTTATATTATAGAATCATGAAAAGTAATATTGAAATTAAGGCGTACCTCTGTAAACTTGAGTTTAAAAAATTTAGAATTGCACTAGCACGATTTAGATGTTCCTCTCACAACCTGTATATAGAGACTGGTAGATATAATCACACTGAAAGAAGAGACAGAATATGCACATTGTGTAACACAAATTCAATTGAAGATGAGTTTCACTTTCTCCTGGTATGTCAAGCTTACAAACATTTACGTGATAAATATTTGCCATCTTTCTACTCTGTACACCCGAATGTCCATAAGTTTGTAGATCTTTTAAGTCATCTAATGATACTATGTTATGTAACCTGTCAAGATATGTTTATCCCGCGATGTCACATGGAAACAGAATTGTTAGTTAACAACCACGTCACCTACATGTAAATATGCATGGTACTTTAGGCCTGTGGCCTTTTAAGTACTGAATAAAACTGATTGATCGGAGTAGGTGTGTTACCTTAACTTGATGGCATAGATCTGTCTAGCTGTTACCGATTAAGTTTGTATTTAGTTTGATGGCATAGTTTTGTCTAGCTGTTACCGATTAAATTTGTATTTAGTTTGATGGCATAGTTTTGTCTAGCTGTTACCGATTAAATTTGTATTTAGTTTGATGGCATAGTTTTGTCTAGCTGTTACCGATTAAATTTGTATTTAGTTTGATGGCATAGTTTTGTCTAGCTATAACCGATTAAATTTGTATTTAGTTTGATGGCATAGTTTTGTCTAGCTATAACCGATTAAGTTTGTATTTAGTTTGATGGCAGAGATCTGTCTAGGTATAACAGATTAAGTTTGTATTTAGCTCAATGACATAGATCTGTCTAGCTATAACAGATTAAGTTTGTATTTAGCTCAATGACATAGATCTGTCTAGGTATAACAGATTAAGTTTGTATTTAGCTCAATGACATAGATCTGTCTAGCTATAACAGATTAAGTTTGTATTTAGCTCAATGACATAGATCTGTCTAGCTATAACAGATTAAGTTTGTATTTAGCTTGATGACATAGAACTGTCTTGCTGTAACAGATTAAGTTTGTATTTGGCGTTGATGACATAGATCTGTCTAGCTATAACAGATTAAGTTTGTATTTAACTTGATGACATAGAACTGTCTTGCTATAACAGATTCAGTTTGTATTTAGCTTGATGACATAGATCTGTCTAGCTATAACCGATTAAGTTTGTCTTTAGCTTGATGACATAGATTTGTCTAGCTGTTACTGATTAAGTTTGTCTTTAGCTTGATGACATAGATTTGTCTAGCTGTTACTGATTAAGTTTGTATTTAGTGTTGATGGCATAGATCTGTCTAACTATAACAGATTAAGTTTGTCTTTAGCTTGATGACATAGATTTGTCTAGCTGTTACTGATTAAGTTTGTATATAGTGTTGATGGCATAGATCTGTCTAGCTATAACAGATTAAGTTTGTATTTAGCTTAATGACATAGATCTGTCTAGCTATAACAGATTAAGTTTGTATTTAGCTTGATGACATACATCTGTCTAGCAATAACAGATTAAGTTTGTATTTAGCTTGATGGCATAGATTTGTCTAGCTGTTACTGATTAAGTTTGTATTTAGTGTTGATGGCATAGATCTGTCTAACTATAACAGATTAAGTTTGTTTTTAGCTTGATGTCATGGATCTGTAGAAACTCACAAACACTGTTCAGAGCACTGTGTTGTAGAAGTCATCATCATCATCTTTCTTTTTCCAAAGTCTTTCATTTCAAGGCAAAGCAGTTGTGAAACTTGTTCCCAGTTCTTGTGTTTATTCTCTAAGGTGGTGACTGGGGGAACACAATGGCTGTTGGGTATGCATGGAACTTTAAAAGGGCAACCAGTTGAGACTTCATACTGTTGACCAGTAGATAGTGATGCATTGCTCACATAAAACCTCACAGTAAATAATTCCTCGTCTGTGAGGACCTATTCTAACCCGGGGAGTGAGGCATCGTTAGGTAGTCTTTAAGTAATGGGGGCGGTCGGGTAGCCTAGTGGTTAATGCGTTCGCTCGTCACGCTGAAGACCCGGGTTCGATTCCCGACATCGGTACATTGTGTGAAGCCCATTTCTGGTGTCCCCCGCCGTGATATTGCTAAAAGCGGCGTAAAACAATACTCACTCATTCACTCACTTTAAGTAATACATCACTACATGTGTGTGGTATCAATGTGGACCATCCTGTGAAGATCTGGGGTAGAATACATCTTCAGCAACCCATGTTTACTGTAAATGGCGACTATGCTTGTCGTAAGAGGCGACTAACGGGATTGTGTGGTCAGGCTCACTGACTTGGTTGAGGTATGTCATCGTATCCCAATTGCATGGATCGATGCTCATGATGTCAATCACTGAATTGTCTGGTCCAGACTCGATTATTTACAGACCGCTGTCATACAGCTGGAATATTGCAGAGTAAACAACAAACAAACAATGTGGACCAACCATGCCAGTGATGCATCAAAACACTTAAAAAATAAGTTACTCTGTATTGTATGAAGCTAACACTAAGGTCCCCTGTGTTGTGTTTCTTTTGAGACTAAAATTGATCTGGTGGTCAGGCTGGCTGACTCAGTTGACTGTGTGTCACAGTACAAGGCTCATGATATCATCCACTGGTTTGTCTGACCAAGACTTGATTATTAACCGACCTCCATGACATGATGGAATATTGCCAACTGTAAGTAAAACAACAAACAAGACATCTGGTTGAACTCATCTCAATAGCACACCTAAAGATTGCTACCATGTAGAATATAACAAAAACATACTAAGATGATTATTCCCTATCTGCTGCCGCAGCTAAGATAGAAATAATGATAATGTGTTTCAATAAGGGAAACATTATTCAAATAGATACAAACTGATAGCAATTATTACCATATTACATAAGTATGCAATAACCAGCTTTTACTCAACAATGCATGAGCTATGAGGCATCATATATCTTGTATATCAACAGTTTTGAACATACTAATAAGTTAAGGATTAGAGAAACTGTTTCAAAACGAATGAAATTCAATCATTTTGATTTTAACTTTCTTGCATAATGTTTTGTAGTGTGTACAAGTTGACACACATTTGCTGCCTAATACCAGCAGTATTTCTTGTGGTAAGTGTAACATGCTGTCACAAGTTAATGAGAGGAAAGCCTGTAAGATGATACTTCCTGGGTACTACCAAGTATGAGACATACTTCAGGTTATAATTAAGATTGGCAGGTCCTTAATGGCTTGTTAATACAGCAATGATCAGTCTGTTCTGGCCAGCAGTGAGGTCAGGTTAGTCTGCTTGAGACAGCATTGAAGTGAGTACTGCCAGTGGCTCTGTAGCTGTGTTAGTTGCAGATTGTTGGGAGGTTCCTTTTGGTTGTCATGGATATTTGGATGTGGAAGTTTTGTTATTTTTCTCTTTTTTGTTTTTGTAGATGTTGGTTGTGCAACTGTCTGTGATTCTAGGATTGTGGTTTTCAGTTTGTTTGTATTTTACATGTTTATGTCATACTGTTGTGAACGCTGTCTTGATACTGCTTTCTGATCACTCTCATCTGATAAAACTTTTTTGTGTCTTGGTCACTTTCAATTTTTATTGTTTAAAACCTACTATTTTCTGAAACAATTCTGCTTCACTAAAAATTAATTTGTTTTCATATGCTTATATCATGAATTTGATATTCTTCCATTATGGTTGAAAAGTACAAATAAATCTGATTTCATGAAAAAATATCTCTTCATACAACAATGAAAAGGTAAATATGTTTGTTTATGGAATTTCAATGTCAGTATATGACACCGGGTGTTCAGCTGTCTCCACGGAAACTGTATACAGTAAACTACGGTTATAACGAACACGCTTATAACGAACTGACGGATATAGCGAACTTACTTTTTTGTCCCGACTAATTGCTGTAGCTATGTTGTATATATGCTTATAACGAACTACGGTTATAACGAACTAAAATTAAAAGCGGTCCCTTTGAGTTCGTTATATCCGAAGTTTACTGTATATTGTTTCAGCTGACTGAAATGATACTGTATAAATTGTTTCAGCCGACTATACTGATACTGTATATATTGTTTCAATTGACTCTACTGATACTATATATATATTGTTTCAATTGACTATACTGATATCATAAATATTGTTTCAATTGAATATTGATACTGTATGTATTGTTTCAGCTGACTGTACTGATACTGTATAAATTGTTTCAGCCGACTATACTGATACTGTATATATTGTTTCAATTGACTCTACTGATACTGTATATATTGTTTCAGCTGACTATACTGATACTGTATATATTGTTTCAGCTGACTATACTGAAACTGTATATATTGTTTCAGCTGACTATACTGACACTGTATATACTGTATGTATTGTTTCAGCTGACTGTACTGATACTGTATAAATTGTTTCAGCCGACTATACTGATACTGTATATATTGTTTCAATTGACTCTACTGATACTGTATATATTGTTTCAGCTGACTATACTGATACTGTATATATTGTTTCAGCTGACTATACTGAAACTGTATATATTGTTTCAGCTGACTATACTGATACTGTATATATTGTTTCAGCTGACTATACTGAAACTGTATATATTGTTTCAGCTGACTGTACTGAAACTGTATATATTGTTTCAGCTGACTGTACTGAAACTGTATATATTGTTTCAGCTGACTGTACTGATACTATTTATATTGTTTCAGCTGACTGTACTGATACTGTATATATTGTTTCAGCTGACTATACTGATACTGTATATATTGTTTCAGCTGACTATACTGAAACTGTATATATTGTTTCAGCTGACTATACTGATACTGTATATATTGTTTCAGCTGACAATAGTCAGTCACTCATTTATGGGTTCAATGTCTGTCTGCTTCTGATCCAGTCAGTTTCATGGACGGCTGTCTACACTGATCCTGTGTATTTATGTTTCAGCTGACATCCCGACTGCAGCAGTCCCGAGGAGTAACCGGCAGCGACCCAGCTCTCAACCAGTCTCCCACCAGTCAGAGAGGTGGGCACTTGTTTCTCTACCACGGAGGAGTCCTACTCTGTCGGAACCTATGCTTGTCACACGATATGGATCAGGCAGTCAGACTCCGCCGCTTGCTTGATTATGTGTCATAGTGGATGTTGCTCATCATGTCGACCACTGGCTAAGACATTATTTACCGGCCATTATGATGGAACAGACATATTTCTGACTGTGGCATTAACCATCTTCACTCAATCACTCACTATTGAATGTCAATATCATCAACCATTGTGTACAAATATGATTTTTCACAAGAATTTTTTATCATATTTTGTCTGGAGATAAGATTATTTTTTTAACTACACTTGCAAAACCAGATATTTTTTAATTGAAACTATTAGACTGAGTATTGTTTCAAGAAAAACACCTGCACCAATATAATTTTTGTGGCAGACAATTTCGGTGTTTTAAACAGTCTGAAGCGTAAGTATTTTTTTCAAGATAATTCTTAATTCAATTTATTATTTTTGGTAAAATCAGGTCAAACTTGACTCCTTGTCAGGTCAAACCATGCACAATCACCAGTACAGTAAACCCTTGTTTGCCTGGACACCCTGTGTTGTGGACACTTACTATTAGGAATTGTTACTTGCATACAAAGGTATATTACTGCCTGCCCTTGTTTATCAATAATTTGAAAAATTGAAACATTTGCAAGTAATTTCAACATGCCATCTAATATGATTGTGATGTCATTGCTCATAGTGTTTAAGCAACAAGGCATGAACAGCCATGGTAAATGCCTGGGTAACATGATCTTCATGTGATTGTAGCGTTGTCCAGCTCGATGTCCAGCTCCAATCTTGGGTCAGGATCAAGGACGCCTGATGCACAGAACATGCGGCGATTTGTGTCGAGCCCAGACACATCAAACACTGACCCCTCCACACCCCCACCCCTGCCCCAGAGGAGGACCTCCAATGCTGCAGGTGACTATACTGGACTAACTGGACTAAACTAGACTATGCTGGACTATACTAGACTTTTCTGGATTATACTGTACTAAACTAGGCTATGCTGGACTATACTAGACTATTCTGGATTATACTGGACTAAACTAGACTATGTTGGACTATACTAGACTATACCAGACTACACTAAGCTATACTTGATTATTCTGTACTATACTTGATTAACTGGGCTATACTTGATTGTACTGGGCTTAACTGAACTACACTACACTATACTAGATTATTCTGTACTATACTGGGTTGACTGGGCTATACTTGATTGTACTGGGCTATACTTGACTACAGTAGACTATACAAGATTATGCTGGTCTTAACTAGACTATACTCTACTATCCTATACTATTCTGGACTATCATAAACTATGCTTGACTATACTAGATTATGATAGTCTATACAGGACTAGACAGATACTGATAGACTATTCATGATTATACCAGGCTATACTAGACTCTGGTAGACTGTACTGATGTTTGGGAGATTGGTGTAATTAATGTAATTGACTCACCAGCTAAATATGTGAATTCAAGCAACTGAGAAATATAGGAGATACTCTTCACATATATTTATCTTGATGTTTATCTTCACTCCTATCTTCAGAGATTGGAACTGGTATCCTGAACACCCGACCACCACCCCCACCTCCCAGACAGACCACACATGGTGAGTACAGACACCACCCCACCTCCCTACCACCTCCCAAACAGTCCACACATGGTGAGTACAGACACCACCCCACCTCCCTACCACCTCCCAGACAGTCCACACATGGTGAGTACAGACACCACCCCACCTCCCTACCACCTCCCAGACAGTCCACACATGGTGAGTACAGACACCACCCCACCTCCCAGACAGTCCACACATGGTGAGTACAGACACCACCCCACCTCCCTACCACCTCCCAGACAGTCCACACATGGTGAGTCCAGACACCACCCCACCTCCCAGACAGTCCACACATGGTGAGTACAGACACAACCCTACCTCCCTACCACCTCCCAGACAGTCCACACATGTCGAGTCCAGACACCACCCCACCTCCCAGACAGTCCACACATGGTGAGTACAGACACCACCCTACCTCCCTACCACCTCCCAGACAGTCCACACATGTCGAGTCCAGACACCACCCCACCTCCCAGACAGTCCACACATGGTGAGTACAGACACCACCCCACCTCCCAGACAGTCCACACATGGTGAGTACAGACACCACCCCACCTCCCTACCACCTCCCAGACAGTCCACACATGGTGAGTACAGACACCACCCCACCTCCCTACCACCTCCCAGACAGTCACACATGGTGAGTACAGACACCACCCCACCTCCCTACCGCCTGCCAGACAGTCCACACATGGTGAGTACAGACACCACCCCACCTCCCAGACAGTCCACACATGGTGAGTACAGACACCACCCCACCTCCCTATCACCTCCCAGACAGTCCACACATGGTGAGTACAGACACCCACCCACCTCCCTACCACCTCCCAGACAATCCACAAATAAATCACCACATCCTGGTCCCTTCCTGCTATTTGATGTTTATGAGCACAACCTGTACCTCCACAATGGATAGGAACTCCTCAGCAGTGAAGCCTACTGTCATTGTTTCTTTCCTGCACCCAGGACAGAGACATTAGTTTATTGATTTTCTTCTCATGAACAGATTTGCGGTTCCTGTCCTACAATGTCCCCTCCCCGACATCGGGCAATGTTACCCCAGTTCCTGAAGAGAAGCCAGCCATCCCCAGCAGGACAAGGGTAATTGTTCAGTCTTGGGTGCTCTTTGCTGAGAATCTATGTCCCTTGGATAGAATTGTCACATCTGATCCTGTGATTAGGTGTCACGTGATGCTTCTCCAGTCACAACATTTAGAATTAATGTCATGATACCCTATGTTGTTTGTCTGTCCAAAAGCACAGTTTGCAGTCAGCTACATAACAGAAATACTTGGCGTTGTGACAATTGTCTGATGTTCTAATTTGTTCTGACCTGAAGAAACACACTGGCAAGTAATAAACACATATCTTTAATGACAAACAAAATTAACACACCGTTTGGTCAGTCAAACTGTCCTGTGTGTACACATTGGTTCTCTGTCATCGCCTTACTGCATTTCCTGCAACAGATCAGCTTGTGATGCATGTTCATAACATTGTGTGGTTTTTTCCCCACAGAGTATTGCCGTTGTAAATGGATCATTCGATCAAGGCTTAACTGCTGTCAGGGAACAAGCCAGCGGTGAAGACAAGATCCCTCCCTTGCCTCCACGTGTCCCCCCTCGGCCCTCCATCCCATCCCTCCCAGAGGCAGGCTCACCATCTCAACCACCAGCTAATGAAAATATCACTTCTCCTCCACCAGTTCCCAAACGAACAAGCATGTACAGAGGGGTGTCCTCTGGTAGTGTTGAGGACACCCACATGTAGGAGAAGATTGAACAGTTTGTCCAGGAGGACGTCCTGTAGGAGAAGATTGAACAGTTTGTCCAGGAGGACGTCCTATAGGAGAAGATTGAACAGTTTGTCCAGGAGGACGTCCTGTAGGAGAAGATTGAACAGTTTGTCCACCAGGACGTCCTCTTGTGTTGAAGACACCCAGACATAGATACGTACAGACATATTTCTGCAGGAGGACATTACTATGTACATAGAGACAGAAAGTTTGAAGGGGAGGCCTCTCCTTCCACGAAGGAAACCCATGTGGAGACCAAGATGAGAATGTGTCTGTTCGGTATAGGAGATGTCAGGGAAGCTGATGCCCAGCGTGTGGGGGATTCCTCCACATCCAGCTGTGGGTAACAGTGGGATTGATGCCAGCAGTGCTGGAAGAGCTTCTCTTGTGGAAGACACACAGATAATGAACCTGACAGGAAGATATTCTCATGGTGCAGCTAAGACTACTGCTTCAGTTTGGACAACTGTGGAACTGCTAGAGCAGAGGTAGAACAATCTAGGTCATATAAAGGTCACAGTTTGATATTTTGTAATTAGTTGTAAAAGAACTAGAAGCCCTAATTATGATTTGTTTTGAATTATTGATTTTCTTGTGATAATTGTATTTATGACAACTAGAAGCCCTCATTATGATTTGTCTAGAATTATTAATTTCTTGTTATAATTTATTTCTTGAAATTGTGATGCCAAATATGGAGTGTCAAAATTTGATGGACAGCCTGTGTGACAGACTTTAGGCTTATAGTTTCAAGGCAAAGATATACACATATGTACAGTGATCGCTCGCTATTGCGCTCTTCGATAAAGCGCTACTTCGGTTATTACGCGCGGTAACGCATGGCTCCCAAAATTTATGTACACTTTTAATACTGAGAGTTTTACACAGACATGATTGTATTGTTGTTCGTTGTTTATTTGCACATAACGCTTCTCATTGCATAATCAACGGTTTATCGCTGAATGGAGTTCTAATAATCTGTTTGAAAATATCCGCGGCAAGTCCCGGAAATACGATTGTTCAACTAGTTAACTTTTCACACTATACATCCTTTGATCTTAGAAGCGCATGCATGCAATAAAAGAGAACCACAAGTGAAGTTTATATTCTTAATTAGTGGGCAATCCAATTTAAGGCTAAACTGTCACACAAATGTAGTTGCTGTCACAACACGGCGGTCATTCATTTCGTAATCGCGCTTTCGTAACATCGCCTGTTTTTTCCCCATAGTTATAACAAGCGATTTCATTGGATTAAAATTTGTTTCTAATGACGCTTTCTTGCCGAAATCTGCTACAAGTTTCGTGATTGGTCAATTTTGAGCACGTGACCTCAGGCAGCCAATCAAGCTTTGATACAAAGCTCGTGTTTGATAAATTTCAGAAGTTAGCGAAAGATTTTTTGTTAAATCGTGTTATTCTGAACGTTTTAAGCAGGAAATCACGATATATATTAAAAATATGGAACTTCGCGAATGTATCGTGCTAGGTTACGAGCTGTGACAAAGATTTTTCATGCATATATTTTTGCATTAAACGTTGTGTCCGAGCCGAGAATTCAAGGCGACGAAAGCCGAGATGTCATTTGACTTACATTACACGCGATCGCACAAAACGATGGAAATAATAACTTAGATGTAAGTTTGATTACTTTTAGATATATTTTTGTTGATTTTATTTATCACTTTGTATAATATATTTAAAGATTTGCTTAAAATAGTCTTTATTTTGCTCTTTGACATGTTCGATGCGGACCCGTTGTCGAAATGTGTGTCCGAGAATTTTATTTTCAATAACATCGCGGGAAATAGTGAATAATTTTTTAATTTATTGATAAAAAATGATAAATTAGAATGGAATACGTATTTCAGACATTGTGAAATATGACAGATTTAATAAATGAATGATATTACAGGTAGATCTAGGTCCATAAAAATATATACTATTTTGACGTGACGTGAGATAAACACATAGGCCTATTGATGATTTGAGATTTGCCGAGCGCGCTCCCCCGCCTCGGCTTCGGTTAAACGGCTCATCGTCTATAACGCCCACCAATTATTTGGACCCCATTGGTAGCGCAATAGCGAGCGATCACTGTATGACCATTTCTTTCAAAAAAAACCTAGATTCAAAATAAGTTTTATATAAAACAATGAATGAAATGGATTCAAACTCAGGTTTCTCATAAGCATGTAAATTCCATTGCTGATGCAATCATCTTCATGGGTAAAGGGTACAGTGTCACCAAAGAAAGACTTAATGCTTTCCATTTTCCAGACTTAAGTTTGTGATTGGCCTGGTCTTTGTAAACGACTACAGAGTGCTCACTTCATGAGGATGTGGGACCATAGTGTGAGTGTGGAAGTTTACATCACCATGTTTATCTGAGCTCAATGCTTGTTTCTGAGTGAAACCTTGTAAGTCAGGACCCTGTTATCATGGAAACCCCATCTACTGGATGATAACAACTGGATTCCTGGTTAGAATAGGTCCCGAGCAACCTATGCTGGTCTTACCATGGGGATGCCAGGTTAGAACAGGCCCAAAACAACCTATGCTGGTCGTACCATTCGGATTCCTGGTTAAAATAGGTCCCCATCAATCTGAGGTGGTCGTACCATGGTGATTCCAGGTTAGAATAGGTCCCCATCAACCTGTGCTGGTCGTACCATTCGGATTACAGGTTCGAAAAGGTCCCCATCTACTTAATGTGGTCTTACCATTGGAATTCAAGGTTAGAATAGGTCCCCATCAACCTGTGCTGGTCGTACCATTCGGATTCCTGGTTAAAATAGGTCCCCATCAATCTGAGGTGGTCGTACCATGGTGATTCCAGGTTAGAATAGGTCCCCATCAACCTGTGCTGGTTGTACCATGGGGATTCCAGGTTAGAATAGGACCCCAGCAACCTATGCTGGTTGTACCATGGTGATTCCAGGTTAGAATAGGTCCCCATCTACTTAATGTGGTCTTACCATTGGAATTCAAGGTTAGAATAGGTCCCCAGCAACCTATGCTGGTTGTACCATGGGGATTCCAGGTTAGAATAGGACCCCAGCAACCTATGCTGGTTGTACCATGGTGATTCCAGGTTAGAATAGGTCCCCATGAACCTAATGTGGTCGTACTGTGGGCATTCCAGGTTAGAATAGGTCCCCATCAACCTATGCTGGTTGTACCATTGGAATTCAAGGTTAGAATAGGTCCCCAGCAACCTATGCTGGTCGTACAATGGTGATTCCAGGTTAGAATAGGTCCCCATGAACCTAATGTGGTCGTACTGTGGGCATTCCAGGTTAGAATAGGTCCCCATCAACCTATGCTGATCGTACCATTCGGATTCCAGGTTAGAATAGGACCCCAGCAACCTATGCTGGTTGTACCATGGGGATTCCAGGTTAGAATAGGACCCCAGCAACCTATGCTGGTCGTACCGTGGGGATTCCAGGTTAGAATAGGACCCCAGCAACCTATGCTGGTTGTACCATGGGGATTCCAGGTTAGAATAGGTCCCATCAACCTATGCTGGTCGTACCATGGGGATTCCAGGTTAGAATAGGTCCCCATCAACCTATGCTGGTCGTACAATGGTGATTCCAGGTTAGAATAGGACCCCAGCAACCTATGCTGGTTGTACTGTGGGGATTCCAGGTTAGAATAGGTCTCCAGTAACCTATGCTGGTCGTACCATGGTGATTCCAGGTTAGAATAGGTCCCCAGCAACCTGGGCTGGTTGTACTGTGGGGATTTCAGATTAGAAAAGGTCCCCATCAACCTATGCTGGTTGTACCATGGGGAGTCCAGGTTAGAATAGGTCCCCAGCATAGTATTATGGTCCTATGAAGTAGCTAAATTGATCGGGTGGTCAGGCTCAGTGACTTGGTTGATTACATGTCTGTGTTCCTTAATGGTGAAGAGTGTTGTTGATGATATCAATCACTGGATTGTCTGGTCCAGAGTAGATAATTTACTGACCACCATCATATAGTTGGAATATTGCTGAGTGTGGCATTAATAAACAAAACAGTGGGAACGCTCACATGTATACAAAGGGAAATAACTCCCTGATTCAGAAATGTGTTAATCAGGAAATGTATTTATGTGAGTGAGTTTGGTTTTACGCCGCTTTTAGCAATATTCCAGCAATATCATGGCGGGGGACACCAGAAATGGGCTTCACACATTGTACCCATGTCGGGATTCGAACCCGGGTCTTCAGCGTGAAGAGCGAACGCTTTAACAACTAGGCTACCTGACCGCCCCTGTATTTATAGGAAATGCTACTGTCTTGATTAGTAGTGTTTCACAGTATATTATAAGGTGACTCTTAGATTGGTCATAATGTTGGGTGACATGACAGCCCTTCCTTGGTCTTGCCTTGCTTCAACAGTGAGGAACCTGTAGATGACTGTACATAGACATAATGTGTATATAACGGAGATAATATTATTGTACATTCCTGTCAAGTACCACTTACATTTTTCATGCTAGTATGTCAGGACAACAATTTATTAATAGTGTTGACAATTTGCTGAGGACTTTTGTTTGTTTATTATTTGAATAAGAATTTCATTGATATGTGATGAAATGTACTAGCAGCCTTGGTATCAACATCTTTATAATATCATTGGACCTCTCACAGAATTGTTTGTACAATGTTGAGAACAGTTAAATAGTCAGACCCATGTCTTCAAGTCTCCAAATATCTAAGGGCCCAAAGAAATGCTGTATCAGCTGAAATCTTCTGATAAACCACAGCTTTAAAACAGACTAATTAAGGTTAACAGAACCTGGATCATGGGTAACTCTGACGTGTCATCTCGAGATCCCTGTGAGCTGTATGAAGGGTCACAGAAGTAGTATGGAACTTGGGTAACTCTGACGTGTCATCTCGAGATACCTGTGAGCTGTATGAAGGGTCACAGAAGATGTATGGAACTTGGGTAACTCTGACGTGTCATCTCGAGATACCTGTGAGCTGTATGACGGTTCACAGAGGCAGTATGGAACTTGGGTATGAACATGCCATCTTGAGATAACTGTGATGTAGGTGAGGGAATTCTCTATGGCAGCATGGAGCTGGAGAGCAGGTGCTTGATGTTGGACAACAGATAGCAGGAGATTGTGATGCACATCTTCCATACATATCATCTATAATGTATTGAGTCCAGCTAATACTTCAGAGTGTCACAATGTCTCATAGCCCAGAAATAATGTCAAGAACATGTGCATGTTTAAGCTATATTCAACTCCCTTTAATCCTTGTGTTATTTCTGTTTTCACCAGTATTGAATGTATCCCCAAGTCTGATGATGTCTGAATGTGATTGCCTAAGCAAGGGAGTAGTCTCAGAACAGAGTAACATTTGTTCATGTTGCAGTATGATATTGAAAGAAGTTGATGAATTCTTTTTGACAAGGACGAAAGACTTCGAAACAGATAAAGAGGATAAGGGTGGAATGGAATGATGATGATGATGGTGGTGGTGATGATGATGATGATGATGATGACCACTAACCCTTTTTGTCCTGGGAGTCAAGGTTGTTTGAGAACGTTAAGGAGTGATATCTAGTGATATTGTTGTGATATATCCAGGAACTACTAAGCTGTCAGACAAATGTTTACTTGACAAACCATACATGCAGTCACCAGCTAATTATTTCTTCATCACGTGACAGATGATTCACAAACCTATTATATATTTGATGTATTTGCAAGTTAAGAAGTGACTGGAAATGAAAAGTGTCACTATGTATGAGTTAATGTC